TCAAAAAAAAAAAAAAAAAAAAGGAAAAACAGCGTGGTCCCTCCACACAGCAGAATAGGACTCGGCTGTGTAACAAAAGGGAATCCTGACACATGTGCTACGGTGGACAAAGCAAGGACATCAGGCTGAGGGACAGAGGCCCGGTACAGGATGACACACCTGTGTCATTCCACTCCCAGGAGGTCTCCAGAGTCGTCCGACGCACAGAGGGAGAAAGGATGGGGGGTGCCAGGGACTGGGAGGGGGCGGCGGGGAATGAGTGTTTCGTGGGGACGATGTCTCAGGGAGAAGGTGACGACGTTCTGGACACGACGGTGGGGATGGTTGCACAGCAGTGGGGATATACTTCATGCTGCTGGGAACTGAGCACTTACAAATGGCTAGGACGGGAAATTTTGGTGTATGCATTTTATCACCATCCCAAAAAAAAAGAAAAAAACAGAGCACCCCTCCTCAACCCTCCACGACACACACACTCACCACGTCATCCTCGTAGCCCCCAGCCAGGACGAGAGAGTACGCTCCATCGTTGCTCCGGCCGTGGATGCCGGCCACGTGGGGTCGGTGGACGCCTGACTCGCTGACCTGAGGGTGTCACCAAGACACACATGGCGTCCTCCGCGATGCTGCTTCCGAGAAGCTCCACCCGCCCTCCTCCTCCTCCCGCCCCGAGAAGCCAGTGGTCTCATTCTTACGCCAAACGCGTCAGGCCTGCGGGCCACCTACTACATGGGTCGCTCGGCCAGAGACAGCCGGAGTTTGAGCCGCACCAAGACAACAGCTGGCGTGAATTCCAGCTCCATCACATGTGCGTGGGGCAGCCTCACTGCTGATCTCTCATGTGCCGCACATCAGCGTCTAGAAAGTGGGGGTGATGTGGCTGGGCACAGTGACTCACACCTGTAATCCCAGCACTGTGGGAGGCTAAGGTGGGTGGATCACAAGGTCAGGAGTTCAAGACCAGCCTGGCCAACAAGGTAAAAATCCCGTCTCTACTAAGAATACAAAAATTACCCAGGCATGACTGTGAGTGTCTGAGATCCCAGCTACTGGGAAGCTGAGACAGAAGAATCACTAGAACCCGGAGAGGGAGGTTGCAGCGAGCCGAGATTGTACCACTACGCTCCAGCCTGGGCAACGAGAGTAAGACTTCATCTCAAAAAGAAAACTGGCCAGGCATGGTAGCTCACGCCTGTAATCCCAGGACTTTGGGAGGCTGAGGCAGGCGGATCACAAGGTGAAGAGATCGAGACCATCCTGGCCAATATGGTGAAACCCCGTCTTTACTAAAAATACAAAACTTAGCCGGGCATGGTGGCGGGTGCCTGTAATCCCAGCTACTCGGGAGGCAGAGGCAGGAGAATCACTTGAACCCGGGAGGTGGAGGTTGCAGTGAGCTGAGATCATGCCACTGCACTCCAGAGCCTAGGGGACAGAGCAAGAGTTCGTCTCAAGAAAAAAAAAAGAAAGAAAGAAAAAAGAAAAGTGGGATGACGAGTATCTGCCGGCAGGACTGAGTTTTAAATGAGGTTATGATGTAAAAGCCGGCTTTCACTAGGCAGGAGGAGGCCCAGCCTGCCACTCACGTCACAAGACGCCCCCGAGTGGCCCTGGCCTGAGCATGGGGCCCAGGCTGGCTGCTGAGCATGGGAGGTACAGGGCTGTGCTGGGAGCTCAGTGCGTGTCACACAGGGACAATCCTGCCTCCCAGGGGACACTCAGACTTCTCCAGATGTTTCTGGTTGTCATGACTTGGGAGAACATGGAGTGGGTGGGGGCCAGGGACGCTGCTCAGCACCCCACAGTGCCCGGGACGGCCCCACCCCAGACAACCATCTGGCTCCAATGTCCCTAGTGCCGAAGTGTCTCATCTGCTGTGACACGCAGCCCACGTTGACAGCAGCCAGCACCGTCAACGCCCAGTCACACATCACAACCAGGGCTGAGACAGGTCCCTTTCAGCAGATGCCACCTCCTCCCTTGGACAGTGGCTCTGGAAATGACCCAACACGCCTCTGAGCAGAGGAGCACCAGTCCCCGCCCCCGAGGAGTGATTTCAGGTTCCTGGTGAAAAGAGGAGTAAACCCAGACCTGCGGGCTTTCCGCACCCTTCCTCGGGCAGCCGAGGCACCGCTGGGGTCCCGTAGCCACCCGGAACCCTGGCTGGCCGAGGCCAGGAGAAACTGCCCCAGAAAAGCAGGAGGAGCCCGCGTGGCCCCGAGCCCCGGGATGCTGCAGGTACCTGGACACGGAACCGCCACATGGTGCCCACGGGGATGCCCGGGATGGGTCCATAGTGGTTGGACGGGACGATGGTGCACTCCTTGGTGCGGCCCACACACGCCATGCCCTGTCCGAGTCACAGACACAAAGGAACGACAGCGTGAGCCCCGGCAGGCAGGGAGGGGCAGCGGGCGCGTGGGGAGGAGGACCTGCCTCACCTTGCCCCAGTCCCGCTGTGAGGACGACGTGGCCGAGGCCATCTTCGCCTTCTTTTTGCTCTCTCGCAACCGCTCGCCCGCCAGCACCACCTCGCTGGCGTCATTCCGGCACTCGGGGCAGTACCTGTGAGGTCGGGATGGTCACTGCCCACACCCAGACTGGCAGACGTCCCAGCCGACCAGTGCCCTCTGCCCACACGTGCATGCATGGCTGTCCCTGCCTGGCACCATGACCATCCTGCCCTGTCCACATCACGGGCCACTTGGTACACAAGGTCGTTTACATTTCAATTTATTCTAAGTAAGCCGGGCGCAGTGACCCACGCCTTGATCCCAGCACTCTGGGAGGCTGACGCGGGTGGATCACCTGAGGTCAGAAGTTCAAGACCGGACTGCCCAACATGGTAAAACCCCATCTCTACTAAAAATATAAAAATTAGCCGGGCAC